CGGGGTTGATTTGGCTATGTTGCCTCAGTGCACTCCGTGATAGTGCAGAGCAAAAGGAATAATTGTTCAAAAGCGTTGAAAACATGAGTAGCTCAAGGTGGCTTGCTATTCCGGACTGGCATGTGGGTATCATCGAGCTTGCATCAGAAGCAGGAGGAAAGGCATCACAGAGCGCCACAGACATGTTGCATGTCCTCCTTTGAATGCAATGGCAAACGAAGGACAATTTCATTTTCAATTTCTCCAAATCGAAAAACAGAAAAGCAATCCAAGTAGTTACGGCAATACTTTTTCAACTTACATTGCAAAACCCACACTTCCACACAAAATTCGCATCCCCCCGACTCCCCGACAAATCGTGCTTTTCCTACTTGCCCACATCAGCCCGTCTTGCAAAAGTGCAGTAGAATTAAGGAAGAAAAAAGCCCAAGGCGTTCATAACTCACCCATTTGTTAAAGCTCACCACTTTCGGGTGTACCTCCCGACATGACGTGCATTGAACTGTGAAGGAGTAGTGGTATGGCGAATCCTCGGTGTCGGTGGGCTGGAGATCAGTGACCCTGAGAGATATTACATTAATTAGCCGGGTCAGTTTCTTCATGCCGGGCCGACGATATCAGATATAGATCCATGGGAATGGTATAGTGCACCCCGCGAGGGCTGCGTGGAGATTGGCGTTAACGTACCCGGATAGCACGGCGGAGACGGTGAGGGCGTACATGGCGCCAAGATTAGTGTGTTGTGTTATCAAACAGAAATGAAGAAAAATAGAATAGGTTATTCAGTTGATATTGAGAATAGCGGCTTAATGGTCTTGAAGTCGTGGATTGTCGGTTGTTGATGGCGGGGTGCTTGGAGAGAGAGCGTTTGGTGAGGGTTGACAGTCACCACAGATTTGATATCAGCAACAATGCGAGTTTATAGTTATATGGATATCACGAACATTGTTGATTTCTTCAATTAATGATGGGCTAATAGCATCGCGTTTAGTTTTACCGGTTCCAAAGACTAGCATTACGGGCGCCGACCACTTTTGTAATATCCAAGTAGTTCGTATTTGCTAATTAATCATATCCACAGCTAAAACAAATATTTCTCAGAATCATCGGGTTCGCAGTTCAGAATTCAATTAGACCGCCTCAAATCATGACGCCACGGTTCCAGAATACTTTTGGGCCGATATCCAAACAGGTTAAGAAAAAGTAGAAACAAGTAAAGGAGGGGGTATCATATGCAATGACAGATTAAAAATAATAGCACACAAGAGCCACAAATCTAAGGGTATCGTAACAAGGAGTGATTCGAGAGTCGCTGGGATATCCAAGTCCATCAGCAAAACTGAGGAGCTTGCTATGGGCCAGCCGGGGGTAATTGTGATGTAGAGAGTAGTCGTAAGGCAGCAGCAGTCGGTAACTTCGTGCGTCGCCGAATATAGAAATGCATCAGTGTTAGAGGAGAAAGGCTCATCGTCGCTCTTTCATGTATAAGGAATCGTAGACAATTTCGACATCGCTCATAAACACTCATCGACGAGTATAATCCATCAGATCGTCAATGGTCATCGCCCGAATTGCGGGATCTTGATCTTATTTTTCCACCCAGCCTTCTTCAAGAAGCCTTCTAACCGCTCTTTCTCCATGCTCCCTTTACTCGAAGAGTTCGTCGACGAGCTGGAACTGCGGACGCGGTCATATTCCTCTGCGAGAATCTCTTCGAGACGCACATCCGCGTCCGATGATGTGCGAGGCACTTCGGGATCAAGGTGTTCGATAAATCGCGAAGTTATTCCCGGCATTGTGATATGATTCTATGCCAACTTGCAATTGGAAATGCTTCAAGTCGAGGTTCGACGAACGCGGGCAATCGAACTCGGGGAACTCTATGCGTTTCTTCTGCTAGAATCTTTGTTTGGGCGGCGGCGTGATGCGGCGATTTAAGCGTATACTCGGTTCTTCGACTCGAAGCTCCGGATCTCGTACGATGGCACGAATAACAAATAGAAAATCAAGGGTATGTTCAAGTGCTTGCATTATCTGTGTCTCGCAAGCAAAACCAAACTTGGGTATAAGCGGTGGACAGGGGGCGGTTGTGTGTTTATTATTATATGCATCAAAAGCCGTTTGAAATTAACCCTTTGGCAGATATTAACTGTCGGCCCCCCTTGAAGACGATGGAATCCAGCAATCGCCCCGACATGTCGAAGCCGCGGGTACAATATAAAAATAAATGCATGCGGCCGGTTAGTGAATCCCGGGGGGTTTGGGAGTTGCTTTTGTATGGATGGGCTTCACCCTCCGAGTGGAAGCGTCAGCTAGCGCCCTTCACTGAGGGGGTTTGTGCATCTCTTGTCGAGTCAATCATCATCGTCCAGACGTCGGTGGCTCCCCTGTGCATAAATCGGGGGGCCTACCCTTGTGACGGCCGCCCATATTGGTCCGAATCGCCAGTGGAAAGTTTTTTTTTGCCCCTCTCCCCGGGCGCTTTGAGGAAGAGCGTGAGGATGGATCGACGGCATTGTCTCGCGCCCTCACGCCAAGGGAGCCAACCTGGAGACAAACCCTGGACGCAGGTCAGACAGTCGGTGAAAATGCGTTCATCGCGGGGGGGCAGTGTATAATCTACTTACGATCCCTCTTCCCTGAAGGAAATCCCCATCGAAAAGGATGGCGGGAAGGTTCGTGTGTGGCGTCGCTCGACCACCCTCCAGAAACTCGATCGCTGGTGATCAAGTCACACGAGCTCGCATTGCTTCGAGCCTAGCGGGAAAAGCGCCCTACAGGCGGAAAAAACAGGACTTGATCCTGTCCGGCCATCGATGTTGGGACTGGGGGTTGGTGGGCGACTATTCTGTTGCCTTGCAAACCACTGGCGGTGGCGGTTATTGTTCAGAACTTGTCAGCCTTCTCAAGGCCAGCCAGCGTCGTCAGTCACTGCGCAGTGCGTACGAAGCGCTCGCAGCCACCAGGGACGAGGCGCCAGCTGCACGGAACAAGGCCACGGCTTCCAGTGCTCGATAGTTCCTACGCCGGACTTGAAACTCTCCAAAGGGAATCAGCACCGTGACACGTTCGTATCCAACGACGCTTGACGGGATCTTCATAGGAATCCTGGAGCCTTGACTCTGCCCCTAACTAGTTAGTAGTCACGCACATCTCGAGTACTCCGTACAGTTCGCTTCTTCTACATAGATGGTGTTTCAGGCTGGGATGATGCTCTTTGAAACCACATGGTTTCTGATTGGCACATGGCGAGACACACTTGGGTTCACAGGCAAAGGACTGGTCTGGTTCAAGAGAAAGAGAATCAAAACCCACAAACGAGCTGCTTTGAAACTGGAAGCAAAGGTGCTCATTGCGCTGGATGAGCTTAAGCCACACTATATATCAGGCACTGACATACTCGGCTACTTCAACTTAAGGCCAACGCCCACGTTACAAGCTGTAGCTAAACAATGATGGGAGGAGGATCGATTCAAGCTCTCCATTGAAGGTGCGCTTTTGTTAACCTGTTCGAGCTTGGTAGTTATCTGTCGTTTCACTTTCAACCCCCATTGCCGCCTGTTCACAGGCCCCAGGTTGCCACTAACAGGCCACCTCAATGCCGTCTCTAGCACTCGCTTCCGTGATGAAATCGTGAACTATGCTCAGAATATCCAGTGGGCGCCTCGTCTAAAAGAATCTCATTGTTCTTCCCGCTAAACGCCGTTCCCATTTATAGAATTAATGCGCCTCCAACAATCAGCCCGTCATCGCCACATCCTTCATCTCGACGCCCTTCGCGGCTGATATCCAGAGAACATTACTACACCTAGTCGTCGACAATTTTGTGTCAGTATCCACCAAAGTAAACCGTACGGGGTACAATCAAATGGTCTCCTTCCTATAGGAAAGCGAGATTCAATCCTTCAAGTTGAACTAGTAAAAGCGCACGCATACCGTATCAGAACCTGACCCAACGTCCCTGTGTTCTTTCCATCGATGAATTCCTCCGTATTGGATAGTTGAATGTTCATATATGAATCCACGCTGACCAATTGGCCCTTGTATTCGGTCTGACCCCATTTCAACCGAATGATAACGTCTTCATTGATACTGCAGGTCCACACACAATCGGTCAGCGAATGCTCTCCATCAAGCTAGAAGGAGAGCTCGACAATGGGAACGAGGTGACGCACAGAGATTGCAGCATCGGCCGCGGGTTAAGAGGAACGAGCTGGAAGAAAGGAGGTCAGTGTTCACGTGGTTTGGCATGCATTGCGCGCGACATTCTTCGCAAGGGGCAGCTTACACTCATCTTTGGGGTTGGGATTCTGCGTCAACGGGATAAAAGGAGGGCATGGAATCGATCTTCTCTGCTTGTCGCTCTGAGAACCGCCAAAGGGAGCTAAAGCTTCGTCCTGCCAAGCAACCTGATAGATCCGGTTAGTCAGCTTGCTGTTACAACACAATCTTATGTCAGCTAGTTGGTTATCCCTGGGCTTGGCATCACTTTTGGAAGGCATTGTGGCTAGTCCGTGTAAAGGGCTTTGGGAGGCATAACAATAATTGAAGACATAGATTGCGTAGCTAGCTGGCACTGTGTTGAGTCTTAGGTAGCACCTGGTAACGCCTCAATGGTTCTTTGACGGTCCCTTTTTTCAACGAAAACCCTCCAGAGGACAAACGGAATGCCATCATAATGTCTTCATCTCAAGCCCCCGGATCTGCTTCATACTTTGAGCAGCAGCGCGCGGAGCTGCTCAGGGAGATTTCACTGGTAAGGACTCCTTTCCCGTTTACCGCTGCCAGCTCCTGAAATCTACGCTTCCGAAAATATTGAATCAGACTAAATAAACCCTCCCTCATCAGAGCTTCGAACAAGTCCTTCAAAACATAAATCGTCTCAATCGCAATCTAGAAAGTGTCATCGCAGTATGTTTTGGTTCCCTTTCTGTTTTTTGCTTCTTTCGGTTCTGCATCTGATCATTTCTTTCCCAGGTTGGCAATGAGTTCTCTTCCGTGGAGGCCTTGTGGTCACAGTTTGAGACCGTGATGGCAAAGGACGAAGGGAGTGGGGACGGCGAGATCGACCACGATGGCGCACAGCCCAAGGGCCAGAGAGAGGATAGAGTCGAGGTGAAGGGAGAAGAGGATGAGGAGGAGGTAACGGCTCTTCATGATGACTGCGATGACCATAGTTAGCATCAAGAGGCCAAACTATTTATGACGCTATTAATGAAAGATTCTACGAAAGCACCATACCCGAAAGGAATTGAATATCATATCTAATCAGGACATACGCTGCATTAATCTGGCCCAAACGTACAAGAACTCGTCCCAGTTAACACCTAACCCATGCATAGTATCCTCCAGAAAGCCCGTCAGGCGAGACAAACCTTCAAAACAAACAGGTGTAAGATGATATCAAAGTAGAAAAAGGAAAACATTTTTGGAATGGAGTCAGACATAATCGTCTGCATCGGGAATGGAGCCACACCAAGATAAGAAGAAGGAAAAGAAAAAATACAGTTAGGCTGGTGACGAAGGCCAAAGGGCAGGTACCGGGGGTTGAAATCGAAAAGGAAAAAAAGAGAATGACAGTAACGTCGTATGGCAACAGGGAATATCAGATCATCCTGCGCCCATCATACATCATTGGAATGAGCATCCACGTTGTTGGCTTCGTTGCATCGTCTTAAAGAATCTTGCAAGTCCGTTTCTTTATCTTCTTCCCTCCAGCACCGAGAGGACGAGAACCGCCCTCACGAGAGTCCCAGTTGTCTTCTTCGATTCCCACAGCCGTGTTAACAGCCAGCTCAAACACCTCGTCGACACCGCGCATCTCTTTGCTGCTGCACTCCACGTACTGGGCACCCATCCGCTGGGCCACTCCCCGGCCTTGGTCAGGCGTGACGGGGGTTAAACCTTGGCTTTTGAGCAACTCGATGCATGTCCGTTTCGTTCGAAGGTCGGACTTGAGACCGACTAGAATCAGAGGGGTTGTGGGACAAAAATGGAGGACTTCGGGATACCACTGCGAGCAGCCGTGAGTTCTTTGTTCGTCCGTATCGCTTTGCGAAGGAAACGGAGACATACCTTGTCCATTACGTTTTCGAGTGAGACGGGGCAATCGATGGCGAAACATACAAAGAGGAGATCCGTTTCCGGATAGGAAAGGGGTCGAAGTCGGTCATATTCTTCCTGCCCGGCAGTATCCCAAAGCGCCAGTTCAACTATTTTGCCTGAGGGGTGATGCGTAGTCTGCGTGATGTAGTTCTCAAAAACTGTAGGAACGTATTTCTGTCCTAGCTTCAGCTGCTGCGTTCATCGATAGACGGCAGTGATTGTTGACCACTTACCTCTGGAAAGTAGCCTTGCGAATAACTGATCAACAAGCAAGTCTTGCCACAGCCTCCATCGCCGACAACAACAAACTTCTTCGAGTACGATGGAGGTTGTGTGATATTTGTTGCTTGAGACATTCTTCCTGACGATACACTCATTGTCGTGCTGACGGTGCCGTTGCTTGCGCGTGTACTTTGGCTTCTGACCGGCTTGCGACGAGGAGACACAGAGGGCGGGCCCTTCTCGTTTACTACCGACGAGTGGCGTCGGATGTGTCCAGAATGGCCATATTGATCTTCGTAGGCGCGAGCGGACATTGTTCTGCGCTTTCCAAACAAACGTGGGAGAGAAAAGAAAGAAGGAAAAGGAAACAAAGACCCTCTCTGAAGGGCTGCTCTTCAGTGCTCGATGGAAGTAACAAATTGGTAGGGCAGTCTAGTTGGAGGGTAGGACTATCAACAAATGTTTTTTCTGTGCTCGATTGAAGAGGAGAAGAGCCAACCAGGCAGAAGAGACAATCGGAGCAGATCAAATACACGAGTCAGTTGCCCAAACAGAACCGAAGCGAAATAAAAAGCATTCCAGCTCTGATCTGGGAGAAAGAGAGACAGTCCCTATAAAAGTTGCACACACCGCGTTGCTCCCACCCGCTCTGCCCTGTCAGGCACGCCAACGCTGCCCACTGTTTACCCCATCGCGCTGCCACAGCAACGGGCGGGTTGGGCATGCCTGCAGCCAACGCCATTGGCGCCAGCCCCTGGCCCGGCTCACCGATCTGCATCGTCGCCGACATCATCGTCTGGGCTGGATCCCAACGAATCGCGGTTTCAGCCCGTCGGGAACCCATGAGGAGAATTGTTTGGCGACGTGATGGGGGTATTTTTGGCGATGGACCCCTGCAGGCGTGCAGGGGACGGGACCATCGGCCAGTCCGTGGGTTGAAGTGGATTGAGAGCAGCTTCATTACGACGAGGTGGTATATATCGCGCATGGTTAGAGGCTTTCTACAGAGGACAGAGCTCCATGCTGTTCTCCACTGATTACTGCAGACGCTGGAGATTCCAAAAGGAAAGTTGGCAGGAGTTCAGAGACATTGAGGGCTCTCCATGCTTAAACTGATTTGTGATGTAATTTGCTGCTCTGTATACTCATTCCTCCAACTCCTGTTCATGCACGATTCAGGATGAGATCCTCCGCGCAGAAGACACAGCACAACAGTTGCAGCGATAAACTGAAGCGTTGTGTGGTGTTCGGCTAAACATGCCACAGCGGTGCTGCGGGTATCCGGCTAATGTTGCACGGTGCACAATCGCAAAAACATTCACGAAATCCAAAACTCGCGTTTCAAAGAGGAGCTGGGCCTCTCACATGTTCTAGAGCAGACACACAAACGCTTTGGATTTTTCCGAGGCTGCCCAGACTCCAATCACCCATCTCTCGACTCTGTGTGAAACTGCTGCCGGATCTTGGACCATGCACCGTTGAACAAGCCGTTGCAGCAGGTTGGATGTACTAGCTCTATGGCTGGGTGTCTCGGGCCATCATCGGTTGGAAGAGCTCTTTACCGGCAGAACTATAGCTAGACCATGAACAAGGATAAAGCACAGCCAGACGCGGGTCTGAGAAGCTTGAACCATTGTATGTCATCATCAACAATAACGCTGTTCTGCAGCCACCAGCATTGAATTGCAGCAGTCCGGAACCTGATGCTGATGGCACGCCCTCACCACTCTTAGATCAACGCAAGCTCCCACGATGGCGGTACTGGGTGCGCCAGAAGACCCTGCCGCTCGTGCGGTGGGAGACGCCTTATCTCGCCTGGTTCCAGGAGCGAATGCGCACTCCCTTCCTTGATACTTGGTTTGCTGTCAGCGCAAATCTCGGCACCCACACGTTCTACATGGTCATGTTGCCGATACTGTTCTGGTGTGGATATACCCAACTCGGTCGGGCGTCAGTATACACCGCGGAACACAAAGGCAAAGCCCCTCCATGGCTAACGAGTCAAACAGCATTGTCCATCTCCTCGCGTCCGGCGTCTTTTTCAGCGGATTCATCAAAGACCTGCTCTGCCTCCCTCGACCTCTCTCCCCCCCTCTCCAGCGAATTACCATGTCCGGCTCGGCCGCATTGGAATACGGCTTCCCCTCGACTCACTCCACAAACGCCGTTTCTGTAGTTGTTTATGCGATTCATAGTCTGAACTCCGCCGAATCTACCCTCTCGCCATTTGCAAAAGCGCTTTTCCAGTTTCTTCTATTCGTATACGGGACATCCATCGTGGTGGGCCGGTTGTATTGCGGCATGCATGGGTTTTTAGACGTGGTTGCCGGCTGTGCGCTCGGCGCTCTGCTGGGATTTATCCAATGCGCGTATGGGGCGTTGATAGACGAATACGTTCTGTCGGGTTCTTTCCAGGGATTGTTCCTTGTGGCTCTGGTGATTCTCGTTCTGGTTCGGATTCATCCGGAGCCGGCGGATTCTTGTCCATGTTTCGATGACAGCGTTTCGTTTGCCGGTGTCCTGATTGGAGTTGAGGCCGGCGGGTGGCATTTCGGCAAAACGACGCTTGGATCGCCGGTTCCCATTCCGGGCAGTGTCGTATTCGACCTCCAAGAGCTCGGCTGGTTCAAAGCGGTGGTGCGGATCGTTCTGGGCGTTGCCACTGTTTTCGTTTGGAGGGAGGTTATGAAACCATCCTTGCTTCGGGTCCTCCCGCCTCTGTTTCGCGTTATTGAAAAACTGGGCCTCAGCCTGCCGCGGCGGTTCTTTACAAAAGCCTCGTATGCTCCGTCCTTTTTAGATTGACGACTGGCCGCTAATTCTTTTGTGCAGAGAATACAAACGAGTCCCAGACCATCTCAAGGATAACGATGTCATTCCCAATGTCTCTGAGATCCCCTCGATGCTCACGTCCATCCGCCACCCACGGCGTCGCGCTGTTTCGGTTGGCCCGCAGTCGGAAGCGGATGCATATGAGACCCTCGCCTATCGCGAACACCGCCGGCGGCTGAGCACGTCCTCCGCAAATCGAGCAGCAGATACTCGATCGTCACCATTGGCAGCTGGCCCTGAGAACAGCGACAGTTCCCACTCGGCCCCTGACCCAAAACACCCGAAGCCGCCGAGATCGGCCAATCGGAGTCCATTGCGGCTGCATGAGTATGAACACATGATGGGAACGGGCACTCCAGTCTATGAGCAGAATGGGACGGACAAAGACGGCGGCTCCGCGCGCCAATCACCCGATTACAGCAAGTCACAGAATGAAGAAGATATGTTTTTGATGATCACGAAGCCACGGGTACGGTATGATGTGGAGGTTGTAACGAAGTTGATTGTTTATACCGGTATGTATGATTACTGACTCTCAGAAACAAGCATTTATTAACTCAGATTAGGGATCGCATGGCTGGCAGTGGAGGGAAATCCAATCTTATTTCACTATCTTGGGCTCGACGGGCGGTAATTGTGTGATGGCTACTCGGGATATCACAATCGGGTTTCGTTTCACGACCTTCTCTTCTTCACTAGATCTGGGACACAAGGGTCTTACTTTATTCACACTACATGTCATTTGAGGGAAGATGGCGCTAGGTCTCTGAACTGGAATGGTAATGGTTATTTTGTAATAAGAAAGGCAGTTAAACAATGATGATTCTGCTACAATTCACTCTGGATATTCAAATTCTAGATCATTCCCTGCCATGATTGCGCAAACAAGCTCTCTGCCAAACAATTTAATATATATTGTAGCAAGCTCTATATCATGCTGTCTATATATTCTCAATCTTGCCTGTCGAATGCTGCTCCTTGCTATCGCTTTCTCCTTGGAGGTTGAACCCGGAAGGCGGGATCTGCAGAGCCGAGCGGTGGCCCGTGCATCGTCCCAGCGGAAGTCAGGCGCTAAGCCCAAGTCGGCAAGGCGGCAACTACACGTGACCGCGCGCCAAACCCTCGTGACGTGAAACCTGCTCTGGCGGGAAGGAGCGCATATCAAAACCCGCTGCGGAAACCGGAACGGTCGCCCATGGCCTGCACTTCCACATCGGGTATCTTGCACCTCACCTCTGGCACGCTGGGCTAAATGTCTGCCACCACGCCCATCCGCCCTTTGCGCCCTTTTCCTTTCCCTCCTCTTCTCCCGTCCTCTCCCTCCAGTCCCCCGTCCGTGTCTTGCTTGCCGCTTTGTTTATCATATCAACACTATTCACCCGCAACACCTCATCCCCAGTCCAGACCCTCTGTACACGAGGCGTGTGCTTTACCAGTAATACAGAACAGTCATATACCCAGTATTTGATACACAGCCCTAGGCAGCCACTGGGAGCTTGACCAGACTCCCTCGCCGCCGTCCCCCTATGTCTACCCTGCACCCCAATCTGCTATCCCCTAAGCGAATATTGCCAAGTACAAGCTGCACAGCACCGTTAAGCTAGGTGCTGCGGGCTTGTTCTCTCTCTTTAATATACCCCTCCCGCACGCCGGGTTCAGCGGCGGAGCTCTCTATATCTCGATATTTTGTATGGTTCCCCGGGGCGGGACAGCTGCAGTCGAGTCTATCAATTGCCATCTCTCGTAATCTATCATCTATCATTCTGTAATTACAGCAAGCGAGGGGCTGGCGGTTGTGTTCCTCTGCCCCTCCCTCTCCCCCCCGAGTCACGTTGGCAGCAACAGAACCTGTTCCAAAACAAGGAACACAACAGTCCCGATCCGGTAATTGTGACGGTTTGTTGACAAACCTGCCGGAACTTCCCCCTTGACCCCGCGCCTCGTTCAGTCAGATTTTTTCTTCTCTTCCCCTCCCACAAATCTTCCCTCAACAACAACCCATCTTCTCTTCTCTTCCTCGCTCACTCTCTCGATTACAACTCGTTGACCACGCTCGACTCTCGATCACAACATCTTCTCTGATATCAGAAACGAAGCTCTACTCAAGTCTTCTTCCTCTTTACATCCTCAAAGCGCCAGATCCTTATATCTCTCGCGTCTTTATCTTCTATCCGCTTTCACAACCACCAAACCCAACCTCCTCCTTCTTATTTTTCTGTCAAAGCTGCAGCCTCTGACAATATGGGTTCCAACGCCGAAAACAAGCGTCAGAACGACTGTGTCGATGCTCCTCAGAGCCCACCTCGTCGTCGTGTGGTTGCAGGTCCTATGAACCTGACCATTGCGTTCCCAACTCAGCCAGCTTCTGCTGGAAACGCAAGTCAATCGACTGAGAACGCAAGCCAAAACACCCAGCAACAGAGTCAGCCAAATCCTGTTGCCACAAGTGCAGCTCTGTCCCAGCCAGAACCGATGGCTGGACAGCAACGCAGAGGTCGCGCTAGAAGAGTCGCAGCCACCAACACCAACGAGGAGAGGTCGTCAGTACGCCAGTACTTGCTCGACTCTTTCGTTCCTTTGGCCCCGAGAGCCTCTGCCTTCAAGAATGGCCACGTCCCAGATCCAGAGACGAAGCCTCAAGTTGCCTCTCAGGAGGTCAATCGAGAAATCCCAAGTCCAAAGGACAATCTCGTTTCTGCATCCAAGCCGGTCCAACAGCCGAGTGTGATTGTGGAGTGCCCCAAGTACTCCCCACCTCGTGCTATACCGATCACCAAGCCGGAATCCGATTTCGTTTCGCCAACCGATCCCGTTGCGCTTGGCCGTCTCATGAGGAACCCCGGTTCCAAACGTGTCCGCGGTGAATACAATCCAAGCACTGAAGAAGTGAAGCTGCCAACTTTCAATCCGGCCATGCCAAACTATGGCGCGCCGTCCAAAGCTTCTGTCGCCCCTTCAGTTCCCAAAAGTCAAGTCCCAAAACCGTGGGACTTTGTGAAACCGTACGACAAGGACGACCTTCAAGCACCAAATCGGTTCGCCAACCCGTCGACAATGCCAAGTGACTTTCCGCAAGTTGCTCCGTTGACGACCCAAAGTGACAGGCCCGAGCTTGTCCCGTCAACCCAGCAGAGTGAACTGCCGCCAACAGAACCTCAAGGACTTGGTGTGAACCCACCACGCAATGTCGTCTCGGGCCCACAAAATATTGTGATGGTCCAAGCATCGCGTCAAGCACCAGAAAATGTCCCAGCACAGGTTTCTGCCGCCGAAACTAGCATGCTGGAGGGCCCAATGGCTGCATCGCAAAGCACCGAGCCATTACCTCCACAACAAGCTGCTACGTTGAGGTTGAATTTCGAACCGGCAGCCGACAATTCCACCGCGCCGAGGTCAAATCTCCCTTCACTGCGGGCGCACCTTGAACGTATCGCAAGGCGTCCTGTTCGGGCTTGGAAGCATGTCTTCCCCCGGGACGCCTATCGCCAAGAGCGATACGAAATGTTGCGCCGCTTCCATCGTGAAGGGGATATCTTTATGCTCGACGCGCCGAAACCTTCACTCAAGCGGAGTGTCGACGAGATGACGGATCCGATGCAGAACGAGATCGAGGCAGGACGAGCAACTCCACATCCGGACGTGAGTCAAACTTAACCCAACCCAATGTTCAATTACCTCTACTAACAATTCGATGACACAGATGGAGTTGGATATCGATCCTCTCAAGTCCTTTGTCCGGTGTGTCTGTGGGCTCCGAGAACCCAAGACAGATGACAGTGGAGATGTAATACCTCCAGAGGACCACATCGATGCAAGGTTTTAGGCTGACAATCTTTTTCTTAGGTCGAGATGCAAGGAATGCCAGGACAATGGCCAGTAACCCCGCCTCGTCCGGCTTTAGCAAACCGTTTTGCTCCCAACGGATCAGATCCCTCACCGTGCAATCCTGGTACGCTAAGCGATGTGTGCCCCAGGTGTAATCCTGGTATAGTTTCCCCACGCTCGCAATACGGATCCATTCCGTTGGAATTTCCTTACTTCTCGCTAGAGAGAAGATTCTCAGAGATGTTCCTTTCAGATCCCATTCTGACCTTAAGGACAATAGTCAGTGCCCAGTCGATCCCAGACGTGCCTCAAAGCCCAATCCGCGCACGATCCCAACGGAACTGGGTATTCCACACGATGAGAATCTTCGGAACCGTCAAGCGCCAAGTCACCAGATTTTGCAAGGCCTGCGTGACACCCTGCAGATCTTGCCCACCGCCTCGCAAATTCATGACTTGGTGTGACTACAGAGCGAAACTGCGAGACGAACGACGCAATAAACGAAAGCCCCGGCTTCCAATCGTTCACGTCGAGCAGCTCCCGCTCCCCACGGTTCCACAAATCTCCACTGTCATGCCACCGCCCCCCGTCTCGAGACATCGATCTCGAAAGTCTTCTCCAATCAGCAGACCGGTCCGAAAGGACAAAGTACCGTCCTATATCCCCAAATCCAAGAGTTTCCTTCATGGAGTCTTGAGTGGACGCGTTACAAAAGCCAACGCTAATTGGAAAGATAGATCGATGCAATGCACTAACCGCCTCGGTCCTAGACGCGTGCCAACTCCCCAAACTCTTCCCGAGAAGAATTTGGAGCTGTCTATGGAACCGATGTTGCCAGTGCGTCAAGAAGACGAGACGAAGGTGGTGGCATGGTTCGCCCCATCTTCCCGCCCGAATCTTCCATCCCCCAAGGAGTCGTTGCCAGTTCAGCCAGAGACACCGACAAGCCAAATTTCACCTCCGACACCAACTGCCTCCCCAACAGCAGTTGTCCCTCCAACCGCCGTCGAGGTCCAAGGTGTTGCCGACGCTGAACCTATGGTAGCGACTGAGCCTTCTTCTTCGAAGACTCCAGAGGAGTTCCAGGAGTCAATCTCGCAGCCAGAAATGGTTGCAACCTCCGAGGAACAGGCCACTGAGTCTGCCCCCGCCGAACCCGTCCGTGAAAGCCAACCACCACGGACCAAGAAGCATGTGCATTGGATAGCCTCTTCGACACCGCAAAGACGTCCAATCTCGTCAGTTAATGTCTTTGACCCACAAGCTGCTATAATGCCTAAGGTTCAGGCCCAAGAAGAAGAGGAAGATTCGATTCGCCCAGCCGAACGACCATCGTCCGAAACCCGTCAACCCTCAACCATCCGACCACTCTCAGCCAAGTGGGAGTCGAAAGTCGAAACGGCCCTGTCACAACCAGACAGCCGTCAGCTCGGTACCACCCTCGGTGGAGATACCCTGACTCGCCGTGACTTTGCTACGTGCGCAACACCGTTGGCTTGGCTCAACGATGAAATCATCAATGCGTACCTAGCACTAGTCATCGACTACGCTCGTCGATCATCGGGTAATTCAGGACGACACCAGCAGCCCAAGTACCACGCCTTCAATACCTTTTTCTACTCGAGCCTGCGCGACAAAGGCTACGAGTCCGTACGGCGTTGGGCCACTCGTGCCAAAATCGGAGGTCCAGCATTGTTGAGAGTGGAGACAGTTTTCGTGCCCATTCATCACCATGCACATTGGACTCTGATGGTGGTCAAACCGGCCGTTCGAACCATCGAACATTTTGACTCTCTCGGTGGCAGCTCTTCCTTCCACGTTGCCAAAATCAAAGAGTGGATCCGAGGTGAGTTGGGCGATCTCTTCGTCGAAGAAGAGTGGCGGGTTCTCCCATCAATTTCCCCGCAGCAAAATAACGGTAGCGACTGCGGCGTATTCCTTCTCACGACCGCCAAACTGGTGGCGTTTCAACAGGCTCTCTCCTATGGGCCCAAGGACATACCCGCGATCCGCAAGAGGATAGTTGCTGAGCTGATGAACGGGGGTTTTGAGGGAGATTTCGACCCGAAAGCTGAGCTTCCTGTTCAATCAAAGCTGTAATGGCCTAACAGGACTCTCTCGTCAAGCTGCTTTCGGTCGAAAATTTGGGGCGAATCAAAGAGAGGTATGTGCAATCCGGCCAATTTACTAACAAGGGAACGAGGAGACAATTTCTGTATATAGCGTTTCGTTCCGATCTCCGGATCTCGGGATGATTTTGATTTGCCTGTCCCATGTAACACGCCCGCCGGACCTTACTCAATGGGTTTCCTGTTGCAGTGTTGGGCTGGGGGTGTTTCGGTGTTGTTGTTTATAGTAATTCGCTATATCTCGACCTCACTGACCGGGGCAACCTGGCTCAGTTTGATGGTTGAGAAGCGTTTTACGCCATTGCAAAGCGCCTTCGTTGGTGGCTAGCGATGTTAGAAACAGGTTTCCTATGTTCAAGTTGTCTGGGTGAAAGCATGTTTTTGTTCCTCGTTCCCTTGTTCCATATGCACTTACTTTCTCTTAAGGTCTCGGACTCGCAGAAAATCGACGTCTTCTCGAAAGCCAAACAAAGGCGAAGCGATTGACCGCTCGACTACCGACAGTGTCTTCCCTTGGTGGGCAAAATTTTGACATGGCTGAGTTTCTCTCTGACATCTTCGACATCTCTCGAATAACGGTTTCACGATGAGCTCGATTTCAACTTGTGTTTTTTGGCGATGACTGAACCAACATCTTTTTTATCTCGGTCTGTTGCAACACGGGTTTTGAACAGGGTTGGCTACGATTCTTAAATATATATTCCTATCGGATCCTGCCTCCCTTTTGGCATATCGAAAACGGCGTTTTTGGCCCTAACAATGGCCTTTGATACAAAAATTGGGTGTGATTTGGCGCTGGTTTGGGTTTGGAGTTCACGGCTGATTTACGGGTGGAATTTGGTGTTTATGGTCTGCTTTTTCGACTTGCTTCTATTTTGCGGTTTGGCATGGTTTGGTGCTTGGAGACGGGGTTTTACTGCTCTCAAGGGCATTATTTTTTTACGAAAGGATACCCCCTTTGCCTTACGATATTTCTCTCTCCGCTAAGGGCCGGTTTTATTGATTACAACGATGAAATGGAAATGGAAAAACGGGTTTCAAGGAAGTTTGCTGAGAAGTCCTTTTTGCTTTGCTTGGTTGTCTTCGTCTGCAAAGTTTGCAAATGACGGTTGTACGATGTGTATGATATGCTTGCTTCAATGCAATGCAGCCCATGGAGGGCATTGTCCTTGATTATTTTCCCAAATCCAACTCCGTAGATCTTTGGTAGTGATTCTCCCTCTCCCTTGGTTGTAAGGTTTTGGCATTGCTACGCGTTATTTCCAGTCGATGTGCCCTTGATATTGCAGTGGTTGGATGATGAGTTCTAGCAGCGATGGCAGCGGAAGAGTGCTGCAGATTCAGTACGTGTAGACGACGAAGAGAAGCTGAGGATAAACAGTCGATTTCATCGAGTCAATATTGGGCCACAGCCATACACTATACTATTGCCTATTGGAAGACCCGCAGCTATACTCTAAGGCCAACGCTCTTCCGGACTTTCAATGATGTTGATCCTTATGGGATAGTTCCTGGTCACAATCACACCAAGCCTCAACGCCGCTCCCAAGACGCATCCCAGACAACCTCCGGAATACCTTCCGTTTCGACATTATCAATTTGACAAACAACGGCACATTCCCTATTTCCAGCGTATTGGTTGCCATTATCGTCTTCTCCGTGGTCATCGTCCTGAGAATCGTCACAGTCGTCATGTTCTTCACCTTCGTCATACTCATCGTACTCGTCGTACTCATCGTACTCGTCGTACTCATCGTACTCATCATCGTCATCGTCATCCACATTGCGCCCCTGCAAGAAGCCATTCTTTTCTTTCTCCTTCTTCTTGTCCTTTTTCTTCTTGTTCTTTTCCTTTTTACACTTCTCCTTTTTGCATTTCCTCTCCTGCCCTTCTTCCATATCATGGTCGCCATACTCTTGGTCTTCATCATGGCCACCATCGTCGAGAAGTTCTTTTTCCTTTTTACACTTCTGCTTTTTATTTTTACTCTTCTTTCCCTTCTCCTTCTTTTCACCCTTTCTTTTCTTGCTTTTCTTGAATATATGACTCCAACGCTCCTCCCATGCATTGCTGCTGAATCGCTCTCCCCAACGAGCTCCGTGCCCCGTCAAAACGACGGCGTTGTCCTCGGTCTCTCCAGGGTCAACGTCGGACGTGTTATACGCAAGCTGTATCCACTCGACTCCCATATACACAGATTGACCAATCGACATGTTCCCCGACCAATGGCCCCCATCGCTCCATAGATTTAGAACGAGCACGCTTGGAGAAGTAGGCACGCCATATTCCTTTTCAAGTACCAGGTCGTCATTGAAAAACCAACGGCTCTGCGTGGGAAACCAATCGAGACGGTGGTCCGTCCACTCGGTCCAAGGAGTTTCATGGTCAATCGCATTGCTAGCGCCGGGAATCATTTTATCGGTGGTTCGGTTCCAATCCGGCTGGTTAGAATAGCGTATCCGATTAGGCGGATCAACTGTTAGAATTTCAATGTCCGACTCGCTGGTTGCGGAATGGTAGGTGAACATTCCAGCGACGGCACCGGCAGGTGGAAGAATTATGTCGCCAGAGCCATCTTCAGGGGACGAATAAATCCGCATTCGAACTCTGAAGGAACAGTGCAGGATATTCTCAGTTGAGGTTTGGACTTCGGCAGTAGAAGTATAGTCGTCGTATCGGGTTGAGCGGAGTACTAGATGAGTTGAGTCGTCGGTGCCACTTGCCTTGCTCTTCGTAACGTATATATTTTCAAGCGAGTGAACGATGCTGATGGGAAACATCGAGGTGCCCGCACGGTTCCAGTCTTGAATGTTCCAGTCCTTGGAGAAGGCATGTCCTTCCAGCGTGGGATGACTGCTGCCGGCGTCCCTTGGACGCATCTTCTGTCTGCGTCCATCCTTTTTACCTTGCTTGCTAAATATGGTATACTTTCAAGGGCACAGAGCGAAAATCGTAGAAACGGTAATTTGAA